CCGCAAATATTTACGTTGCACTCTACTCGGTTTACTCTGTAATTACAGAAATATAAAAGCACTTTTTTATTATGAAAATTCATTAAAATTCCAATGTCTTGCATATTCTTTAAAATTAATGTAGATACTGTCTTGGATTGTTCCTATGAATTAGTTAACCTTTTTTTAATGTAAATAAGTTTTTATTTTACTCGTAGGTAATTCACAAACTTGTCTAAAGAAAATTTGACTAGTGTAAAACGTTGATATTGGTTGGCATATTCTATGAACAAAATTTCATAGAGTTTCATTAGTATATAGAAAATTTTAATAGTAGCACCTGATGTATGGAGAGGGACATGCAGCCTTAATAGCTTACCCCATTTTTTACGTGAAAGAATAACAAAAATCACAAATTTAGCATTTATAATATTCCCTAATATTAACGAGTGTTTCATTAAACTTAAACAGCTTAAAATAAAAATAATTTAATGATTTATATAGAACATTTTTGGCCATTACTGCATTTACATAAAAATCTTAGGTATATATAAAATTCACATGTAAAATTATTCAATATTCACTTGTAATTAAAGCCGAAATGATCTAAGTGAACATCAACTTTGATAAATTCCTGGTGAATTTGACACGCCCAATACATTGTCATCCATAAAATAAACCTATCTATCCTATGGTAAGAGTAATTAATAAAATAAGAGCAAAGAAAACGTTACAGAACTCTGTTATGATAATAATAATAGGCGCTAATTTCAAGATTATACATCTAAGATACTGGAAACGATTGGGGTAATTGTCATATGTACTATGTTATTATGGATACATAGACTATAATATAGTATTCTATTATGGTCTACTTTATGATATTATACGGTAAATATTGAGGAAGAAAGAAAAAAGTCCGAATTTTCAATGAGGTTTGTATACGATATCTAATTATAATTATGTACGTAAAGGTTACTGTACATTTTCTACAAATTTGAACAGAATTAACACGGATGTCAACTTATTCATTGCCAAAATATTAATTAAAATCCGTTTAATTTCAGCGCATACGACAAAAAAGCTTTGAAATGGTCATCTCATTGGTCTTTTCTGTAAGACATTACTACGAATATGGAATGTTGGTTTTAGCCCATCGTAGCGAACTGACAACGTGTTTAAGGGAAACTGCGAGTTCGTTTACCTGACAGGGTGGGTTGTTGGACTACTACACAGATATATATGTACAAATATTGTACTACTAACAATTCTCATCCCATCATGTCACTTATGTAATTCAATATTTCTTTATTGACTCTTGTTTCTCGAAAGCATATAAAATAGTGTTATATACTCAGAATAAGTAGTATCATATGGTAGGATATGAACTTAGAGTTACTTCACTAAGGACTGTCAATTATAGTTAATTGCAGAGTAATTAGCGTATACGTGCTTTGCTAGTGCTCCTTTGAGCGCTACTCTAGCTTTGTCAGAATTTACTTGTGTGATTTAAATATCTTGTATATAATATTTACACTTTTATTCATCCAATCCGGAAAGAATGAACCTTTAATACTTACAGTTTACTAATATTAATATAATAATCCTAAAAAATTTTTACACAATTAATATTTTCTTTTAGTCCCAACCTAAGCAGAGATAGTGTTATGTGACAATTGGACTACTATTGTATTTGTAAATACCTACACATAGAAAATCAGACCGATACAAAATTTGATTATCACTGTGTTAGTATTCTAACCCGCAACCGATGTTATTTTTGCTTACTTTTTCATATATAAAATTTATAGGATGTACCAACACAGTGTGGGAATTTTATATGTAACTAAAATACATATACGTATGAATCTGTTGATCTCTGCATACTAATTTGCGAAATTTTATTGATTTTATGGCAAGCAATATAATAACTATGTAGATTCAAATATTCTTGACTGGTATAATATGTTGTTTAGCGTATGAATGATAAACACCGATCATCGTGATAATATTGAGAGGGTAATGAACTTTTATTTCCTTTATAATATCTGCAGTAGAATTTTACCTCCTACTTATGTTGTAAATCGGAAATTTTGCGATAAATATCTTTGGAATTTATCTCTTATAAATAAAATTTGTTATACAAATGTAGCATAGCTACATCAATACATATGTAATTCTTTCATCTTAATTTACACGGGAAATTTAAGAGGGATATAACTACTACTTACAGCTAGTTATTGTTACCGAAAATCTAGATAATCTATCTTTTTTCGTGTATTAATAAATTATATGTGGAATACTTATCTTACATTATTACTTCCACGAATACACCAATTTTGGGTATTGAAGTGTTTTGAATATTTCTCGGAAGGTAAATAAATTCCTAAATCTGTCAAAATGTAAAGTTGTTATGTTTATTATTATTTAGAAAGACGAAATAAATTTGTAGGAATTCATATCTCACTATTATTATCTTTAAAATTTGTTATTTATATTCCTCAAAACAATCATATTTGTTATTGTATTGGTCAGGGGATTTCTATATGTATATTTTCACAGTTATGCGTTGAGGGAAAGGGGGTCGAGTACACAAATCTAGGTGGCAATGGCAATTTCACCTAGATTTCAAGATGTCACATCTTTACTTAATATAAATGAAGTCACTTACGCTGTTGGTTCTCTGAGAATTCTTAGATCTTTCAATCTATACAACGGATTTTAATGCAGTTTTTAGCAATAGATAGAGTGATTCAAGAGGAAGGTTTATATGTATAATTCATGTGCTGTGCGAAACCGGTTTGTGTAGCTAGTTTCTACATAAAATATAAATAAATATTACAGAAAACAAATTCATTATTAAGAAAGAACTTTAAAATATTTACAACTTCATTTGTACTGTTTAAATTGTTTGGCGAGAAGTGTAAACTCAGTTTTAGTTAACTAACTTAACAAGTGACATGTGTGACACATGGGAGTCACACAAATTTGACCAAATGTGTGACAAGAAAAATGATAAAATTCGTGTGACCAACATATAGTACTAAGTATATTAACAATAAGATGAGAACTACAAAAGAGAAGAGATTTTTTATATGTAATCGTGATGACAAACTATCTGACGGCTTACCTGATGGTAAACAATATTATGTATACATGAAAAGTACTAAGGACATCACGTTACTATGTGACACCCGTGATAACACTCATGCGTTGCCATTATAGATAACTAAGATATTGTGCATCTTATCCCGTAATTTCACTGCTTACTTTCCATTCTACAATTCAAAATAAAGCTTACAAAGGCTTGGCGACATAATTAGGTGAACTGAGGTGCCCACACAGACGACCTTTACAGTAAATAAATAATCCTTACTGATATTATAAATGCGAAAGTAACTCTGTCTATCTGCCAGTCTGTCTGTTTCTCTGTCTATCTCGCTTAAAACTACTGACCCGATTTAATGAAATTTGGTACTCAGATAGTCTAGACCCTGTGAAAGGATATAGGCTAATTATTAATGCGAAAAAAGGTTATTTTTTTGGCTACTGATTAAATGTAAATAAACATGAGATTCAAAGTTTGTTAAAAATTTACCCTAAAGGGAGTAAAGTAAAATAGGGAGAGAAAGTTTGTAAGGAAATTTTTGAAGCTAAAACGATGCAGCGGCCAAGGTCACTATTCCACGCGGACGAAGTCGTGGGCGCAGCTAGTATGTTATATAAATGTATTTATTTAGATAAGTATTAAAATATTTTTAGATGGTATTGTTGAACTTCATCTGGCCTATATCATCATGACAGCAGATAATTTAATCGAGCGAGACGTTTCTGCGAAAACAGATAATTACCGTCTAAAAAGTAAATAATATAAAAATTGAGGGAACTCCCTTGGGTTTTTAATATTGAACCAATTTTGGTTTCGTATTTTTAATGTGTAATCAATTCCTAATAATTGGTTTAGGGTTCTGCAAAGTATTACGAAGATTACTATATATGTTTCGTTGGTAGTTAGTACTTATAGATAAATGAGAGTTAAGTACATGAATACAACAATGTATAAAGTTTATACAACCACAGATAACATAATATTTGATAAAATTAAATAAAATTTGTATCGTTTGTAATTTCAAATTAACAGCTTTTCACTGAATATATACCAGGGATGTTAAGGAGATCTGTAACCGTAACCGAAACTATCGGATATCCGTAACCGAATCCGAAATAAAAGTTTTGGACAATACCGGATAGGGGCGGAGCCTAATTTAGACACGTTATGTATTAGCTGTTTGTATTTTACGTTTGTAATTCCTTAAAAAAATATTGTAACTGAAATTATCTGAAAGTAACGGATAATCCGAAATAATTTCATATCCGCATCCGTATCCGTATCCGGTATAATAATCATTCCTATATCCGAAACCTATCCGTATCCGAAATTTTATATCCATAACATCCCTCATATATATTCAGTGCAAAAGCTGGAAATTTGAATGAATTTACATGAGAAATAATAATAAAAAAAATCTGCCTGTTTGTTCTACCTAATCTCTGAAACGCTAGCGAATGTTAAGAGGAGTAACTTAGGCTATTTTTGTTATAGAGATTTTACTTATTTGAATAAAATAAACTTCAATTATTCGCAGACGAAGTTACCTGTAACAGCTAGTTTTAAATAAGTATATAAAAAATATTATTGAATAGAACAGAAATTATGGGTTGATGACAAAATTATAAGGCAATTTTTTTTCTTAGATAAAAATCGTGCTATTATAATTTTATGACAAATTTTACATAAAAATTTCATGTAATAGTTTAATTTACTATATTTATGTTGATATTAGACAAGTAGTCGTTATTTTATTTTTAATGTAAAGAACCCGCATGTGAATGTTATCCTGTATACAACATTATCAGTATTAATGATTAACAAGAATTTAAACTCTTTCGTCACGTTTTAACATTATAAAGCACGAGAGAGATGGGCCGATGTGTATTCGTATGCATACTATTGAAGTAGTAGTATATATTGAATAAGTGAGTCAGTCGGTATCTCAGTTCTGCAAAAGGTGGTTGCATCGTTCAAAATGCAAGTGATACATTGTTTTGTTCTTGTTATTGCTTTTCAATGGAGTCTTGTGAAAGGAGGTCAGTATTTTCTTCTTTATTTAAGTATTTAATATCCAAATATATTTGGACTAATATCTCTGTAACAACTTTAATAAAATATCTTTTGTCTTAAACTATTATTATATGAGTAATATGTAAAAGTTTTGGAGCAAGTTTGGTGTTTATTAAGGAATAATCCTTTGAATGTTATTTTAAACAAATATTTTTATTTAAGAATTTAATTTGCTTTAAAATTGTGATTCCATTTATATCTATAAATATTTTAGTCTGTATTCGAACTTCAATGGTCATCGACAGACCGAAATAAACAAAGAAGTCCTAACTGAAAAAAAAAAAATAAACCTGACGAATGCAACTCGCTTACAAACTAGATGGCGTTTAAGTCGTAGTAATACATCAACATTCATAATTTCAGCCTGTAACTACCCACCGTCGGATACATGTCCTCCACTGTGATCTTTCCTCATCCATCTACCGGTGCTCGGGTCACCTTCTTGATTTCGTCGGTCCTTTGAAAGAGACCGACTTGCCTGCCACTCGTGCGCTGCCTCCACTGTTTGATTTTTTTGTCTCATCTACCATTGTTGACTCGTCTGATATGCCCGGCTCACTGCCATTTCAGCTGACATATATTGAGAGAGAAATACAATAATACTGATTTATTATTAGTTTTTAATTATAAAATAATAAATATTAAAACTTGGTATTTATATTTCAGACTGCGGGGTGGTGTCTAAGAGCGATTGGGATGGACTAAACGCAGTGCATGTGCAGTACCTCCCCAGGCCTGTAGACTTGGTCATCATTGAGCACACAGTGACACCCACCTGTAGTACTGATCGTGGCTGTGCCGAACTTGTGAGGAATATTCAGACAAACCATGTAGAATCAAGAAACTTTTGGGATATTGGTTACAAGTGAGTACCTCAGTATCACCTATTTTATTGATATCATGCAGTTGGTATTATAAGGTGAGTTTTGGTATGAAGATTGAGAGGTGGCAATGAAATTACAGGGTACGGAGGTTCTTAAAGACTTAGGTGACATGCACTTTTGTCCTTAAGAAAGGTAATTCGGTTACTACTTTCCATCAGGTGTAGTAAATATTTTATTATTAACGCTAATAGTAAATATTAGCGTTAATAATAAAACTCTTTGCTATCGCTAATACTATTTGTTTTTTAAATTTTTATCTTAATCTTTCTACCACAATTACATTACACAATTACAAAACGAGATAATTTGTCCCTCTTATATTTTGGGGCTCTCAGATATTATGACTCGCGTCAAACAAGCAAGTTTTATTAGTGGGAACTGTGCTCAGGATATATGAACTGTCTTAGGAATTGTGAAAAGTGTAAGAGATTCTGCCTGTTCTATTAAAAAAGGGAAGGAGTAGTGAAAGTTAATTATATTTATTGGAATAATTTACTTAAATTCTTCTCAATATATTTAAACTAATATATCTATCTACCATACAGAAAATCGCCTAGCAACTCAACTCAGGCTTGCCAATACTGTTCAGCGTAACGTTTGGGCTATAAAATAGCTTGCGTTGAAAGAATTTTAAGGACCTTATGAATATTTTATATTCATAAGTAATATTATATGTACGTAAAACTTATTAGATGCCAATATGAGTATTAATATCAGCATAAGGCATTAAAGTCTAGATAATTGTACACTTTTGACATTTAATTAAGTATATAACTGATAAACTTGCCAATATAAAGATATCTTGTTACGTAATACGTATTTATTATTTGATTTTCTGTAATCAGTAATAACTAAACTACATAGTAGTTAATAATATGATTTTTATTTTGCATTATGTTTTAAAAAAATTATATCATCATTAAAACTTAATTATTGTTTACTACTGGACATAGGCATCATTGTATTTCCTTATACTTATACAAAATAAAAAACGGCCAAGAGTCACCACCATTCAACAATTTCCTAAAGGAAATTTGAGGATATCACATTTTCTTATAGAATACCGCCTTATACTTCTATAATATTAACATTTAAAACATAAACTTTAACAACACACCCCAAATATAAAGAGGAAATGTTTAATCTTCATACAAACTAAGCGGTTACATGTTCAATTTATTATGAAAGTTTCAGTTATGGTAAATATTTAGAATTTCACTATTATTCTTTATAAAAGTGGTTCTGTTTTGTGAGCATACTACCTGTACCTAAGTTGCTACTTTTACTTACTTGACAGTAATACTAATTTCTAAAGATACTAGTTTTACCCAACGACATTGTTCGCTTTTAAAAAGGCAGCACATACCTTTCGATAATACTACTCTCACTGCCAAATTTAATGATGATTTATGTGTACTCCGTACGGTACTGTACCGAGTTGCTGGTAGCGAAAAATTTCCGATATATTTTTTATGCAAGTAGTTTTTTGTTATGCTGTACTGTGTACAGGTTATTTACCCGGTCTCTACAATGTTCTGCGAACGTTTACGTTTCCTTATACAGATAATTAATCATTACAATCTGTGACGTCACCTGGCATTAGGTAAATACTGCAATTGTATGGTTTTCCCATTGATAAAATAGGTGGTTATTGCCAAATCTTTACATTGTTATTTTTTTAATTTCTTTTCACAAGAGTGTGTTATGAGTAAACAGTAATGTACGTCAGGATATTTTGTTTTATGTTCTCTACATAAAGGTTATCTGGGACAGATTAATTGAGTGATAAGGCCGCCTTTTGTACCTTATTACTTTGTAAATTATATTCTTTGATATTGTTTGAAAATTATTTGTTTATAAACTCAATAAGGAGTTAATAAATATGGTATATATGTTAATGTATTTATAGTTTATTTTTAGTCCAGAGTACTATTTAGAAAGCTTGAGCGATAAGATCACATCTTGGCTTTATTACTCTGTCAATTATCTTCGTTGTGATATATACTTAGTGCAATAAACAAAATAAATACCCATGGAAAATTGCCACAGCGCCATCTAGCCTCGTGACTAAGTAGTGTTTTTTTGTAAATACATATATACATACAAAAATAATCGGGACAAAACAAATCAGTTTATTGTGCGGGAGTCATATTTGCCACAATAAGAACATAGGTTAGGAATATATAATCGTTAAGCCACCAAGATCGTCTACAAAGCAGTATGAGACGAAGTTTTTAGCATTCCCTGATTTTACCATCTATCGTGTGGCAGAGAGGGAAGCTCTGAACAATTACTGGGACTGATGACTGACTGACAGACTGATGAGCCAGGAGTAAGTTTAAGAAGCCTTTTAAACATACTTTCACTTTCACCGCTCGTGTCTCTCCTTGTCACGCCAAATCTAATCTAATAGGAGCCTATAAATGAATATTTTTTTTTCAGTTTCATTATAGGCGGTAATGGCAAAGTCTACGAGGGTGCTGGTTGGCTACATGTCGGCGCCCATGCTAGAGGATATAACAAAAGATCCCTTGGAATCGCTTTCCTCGGAAACTTTAATAGTAAGTTAATTAACTATTTAACAGTTAGCCTAGAATTTATATCTATCCGGGAAATATAGATATGTAGGTGAGTCAGTTTGGTATATTATAAACCTGTTCGGTATATAGGTGACACATAAGTTTCCACGCAGGTGACTTTGAGGAAAGTCTACTTCGAAATAGAGTTTGAAGTACTCCGAAGTAAAGATGCCCGCGTGGGAACTAATTCCTATATAAATCAATTATTATCTATACAAATAATTAAAATTTAAGTGTCTGTACCTATTAATAATAATAATAATAATAAACATAGAACATTGTTACGTACTTGGCTTACCCGTACATACCAAGATAACCGGCGAAAGACGAGAGCAAAAATAATAAAAAAATAATAATTATTATAGTAATATGTTTATTACCCCATCAAATTATTTTTTTTATATACATATAACATATGTATATAAAAAAAATAATAATAATATCAAATAAAATTTTAAATAAATTTTTACTAATCTTTGAAACGGATGCACCGATTTTGACACGTACTTTCAATCACAGATAGCTACATACAGGTACAGATAGATGTATATAAGGAATAACTTAGGTTAGTTTTATTTGGAAATTTTAATTTAAAAAAATTAAGTTCTTTGTTAAAATAGTAGCAGCTAGTAATACAAAATAAAGTAGTAAATATCGTCAAAATAGTCTAAAAATCCTACCTATATGAATGGAAAGAATGAATCAAAATAAAATTCTTTGATATCAAAGGCTGTATCTGTGAAATTCGATTTCGATATAGGCAGTTGACAGGGGTGTAGATAGGTCATTGTATAACGATCAAATCAATATTGGGGCGGATAATGTTGTTATCCCTTACAAATATTACTATGAGTCGTGCACAAATTCTTTTGCGGCATTTTGAGAGTTAAACCAGTTTATTAATCTTTATACAACTAATATATATAATATTCAACTCATTTGCTTCTAAATTCTACAATTTTTGAAATAGCAGCTCATAAAACATGCGTTCGTTATAAATACTAATAGTGAAGTTATATTCTATAACCGCATTATTTGTTATTTTTTTTATTTTCAAATTTAGAACTGATTGATCATCATGTGGCACCAGCCAGCATACATCGCACTGATTGAAAAAAGTAAAATTGCGAAAAACAAAAGTGTGCACTACAGTCTTATAGTTGAGTTATTTAATATCAAGTGCGTATTTAACACTATCGAGTCTATTACGACCTCCCCTTCGAATGAGAGATGTACTTATCATAATATTAATAATCGACGGGGCACTTGAAGGAATGTAGTCTACGGACATCACGTTATCACGTAACCTCCATGATAAAACTCAAGCATTGCAATTCCGAACGAAAGATTCCTCATATCGTGTAATTCCGTAACCTTATAACAATCTTCTACCCTCCTAGGAGACTGAGGCACCCAAATAGACGAATTTTTACAAAGTCTACCTGGATAAAATGTACATAGTATATATATATATATATAATATAGTTCATGTTATCGGCAACTGTTTCGACTTTCGCTCTTACTTTGCCATTTCTGAGAACTAAGATGGAATGCCTGTACTCCATAATTTCACTGTCACATCTCAAATCCAAACATATACTTTTGCCTCCAATAACAATTTGTTCAGTGTTTATTGAAAGCTGACTGTACTTTGCAACATAAATCATGTTGACTGGGATATCCTTTTAATCCGATTAATGTATGAAAGTTTACGTAAATGTTTGGATATTTTGTTAGTTGATCATACGGAAACAGCTGGACAGATTAAAATTATTAGAACCCAAATGCTATGTCCTGTTCTTAAAATACATAATAGGATAATTGTAATCCGTTACATTTTTTGTAAAATAGGACCCAATTACAAAGTCATAAGGCCCTTGTATAAACATATTTACAATTTATATGCGTGAATGATGATATATAGAAAATTATACATATTTTTATAATAAATTATATAATAATACTAACTGACCCGCACAACTTAATCTGTATTATACTCGTATTTTCCCCGTTTCAGCAATTTTTTCATTATTTCTCCGCTCCAGTGGGTCGTAGCGTATATTATAAAGTCTTTAGTCTCTAGCCTTCCTAAATAAATGGTTTATACAACACGAAACGATTTTAACAATTTTTTATTTGAACTTTAAGTATCAACCAACCCAATACTTCAGCTTTATTTATTTATACAAAGAATTGGGGAAATACATAGATAGATCTGAGATAATTTGTTTCAATTATAAGATAATTAGAAATTTGACTCTATACGGGGTCTCATAACTTTTACTTTGGCATAACATTTGTCTTAGTATTATATTTTGAGGAGAAATAATACAATATAGGTACATCTTAACTTTACTTTACGAAATCATAACTTGAGGAGATATCTAAACTTCTGCCGTCTTAGTATCCATCCATAGGAATACGATTAATTCTATTATACTCTCACGAATAAGTCACAAATGTAATGAAAAAAGTTTTATCAATTGGGAGTCAGATACTCCCTTTTATACTTTTATTATAATGCTATTTCCCTGAAAAGATTTTTTTTCTAAGTTTCATAGATATTATAATGAAGACGACCCGGCGACCCGTTCGTGAAATTCAGAATTACAATCTGGAAAAGTAATATATAACAGAACCTACGATATTTTATTTAAATATTTCATGTTTCAAAGTATTTTCGCTGGGGAAAATTGTTTAGTTTTATGAAGGTTTATACAGTAATTTCTGTTTCAACAAAAGGTGTTAAATGTATAATATTACCAGAGGGAGACTTGTGCCTACTAAGTCAACTGCGTATATACATAGTTTTGTTCCATTATAATTTTGCCGCTAGCTTTCTCTACAAGCTGCATATCAGTTTGAAGGTTCAAGGTGAAATATATAAGAGCTTAGGAATGGTAATGCATGATGACCCTATTATATGGGCTTCGTGATGTATTTTGAAACAACTGGAACATTCTATTTCTTTTGTTAGTATTGCAAATATCTGACGGTCAACCTGATGGTAAGCTTCACTATCATATATGTATGAATAGCACTACGACTGTCTCCTTATCATGCGACCCGTGAAGAGACCTAATGCGGTCTCGATACAGACGATTAAAATATCACGTCTTTTATCCTGTAATTTCTCTACTCAATTGTCGAAAATTCCTAGCGAATTAGTCACGATGGGCTAACTGACCTGACTTTATGCTTATCCTATAATCCTCCACTTTACCCTGCGTATACCGTTAGCGTGAGGCGATGCGCCATTTCATTATCGTAAAAAATAAATGATTTAATTTAAATAATTTCAGATGATCCGTTGAAGAGGTCAATGGTAGACGCATTGAAGGCTTTATTGCGATGCGGCGTTGAGAACGGCCACCTTACATCTGATTACCACGTGGTGGCTCATCGTCAGCTCATCAGTACCGAGAGTCCTGGACGGAAGCTCTATAATGAAATAAGAACGTGGCCCAATTGGCTGGAAGATGTCAGCTCTATCAAAAACTAAGTGTCACTTCGTGTATTTCGGTTGACCTGAGTATATTATGGACTAATATACATTTATTTCTGATTAAGTACACATAGTTACAAATATCGCAGCGTTAATTTAAGTAAGCACTACATACACTAGAACAGCTGTCAATTACATAGCAAGTCTCATTTCATTCTTTGATAAAATAAAATTACTTATTTATAATTACATGATCACCCTAAATACTGAGTTATATTGGACAGATTAGTTCACAAATATATTATTTATTATATTACATTACTTATGAAACGGAGTCAAGTAGGCTATACTATTAAGATAGATTAGATAAAAAGAATAAATTGCATAGATTCAAATCTAAATTAGAACACATTAATTCTTGTTCTTAGGCTGGGTCGTAATATTAGTTAGTTTTGGAGCTATATAGAATATGTTTAAGAAAGTAATTTTTTTACAGGACAACTAACGTTAAAAGCTAAACTGTACCTAAGAAATATTTTAAGGCCAAGCAACTTCTCTATAACTTTCTATATTTATAATCGTCATTATAAAAATTTATCTCATCTACAATAAATATGAATTACAGAAGAGCTCAGACGAGGATGTAAGACTTGTTCGTGTGATCTAAATAAAATATAGACTATATTACCATTGTGATATGTATGGTATAAGATTTCCTAGTTGTTAGAATATCTCTTATAATCATATCAGTGACTATATTCTATTTTTTTTAATATTATACACAATTTTATAGAATAAATCAGAGCTTCTGTTGATATTTATATATATCATCAATTATTAAAGTTTAAAAAAAATTGCATTTAATACTCAGTACAATTATGATAAAAAGTAGTGTATGATATTATTTTATTCTCTTTTTAAGGAAATATACATATTTATTATTGCATCTTGGCTTTTATTATCCCACAATTCTTACGGGAATGTCTCTATACCCTGCTTCAACGCCTAATTTCTGATACTTCACGGAATAAATGAAAAGTAAATAGTGAATTTACTTAGGCACCTAAAGAATAACAATACAAGAGGCCCGTACCTATGAATCTATTTTGTGCCTTACTGAGTATATCTTAAAATTGACAATTCCAATTTTCTGTTAAGTGATATATATATAATATTTATTAATTGTGTACCGTTTGTGTGTTTTGATATGATATGTTAAAAAAACAATTATAACCTTAATGGAGAACTTGCATTTGATCTTTGTAAGGTTTACAAATTACTAATTGACCTGGTCGTTTTGCCCGGAAAAGTTGCCCCACTAGTTTGGTCCTATTGTAAGTACAAATATGTATATATTAAGAGGCCTTTCACATTTTTTGGCCTAAAAGCAGTGTCTTTGGGGTTCTGGTTCTAAGAAATTAAGAGTCGGATATACATTTTGATTCCTGAATTATATAGATAGATATCTAATCTTAAAAACAACATCTTTGAAATGTTAATTTTCTCTTTGTTAGTCTTCCTAATTTCTAAAATAGTTTATTCAAAAACGCTAAATGACAGAAGTTTGGGGTCGTCGTTCATTAATAAACAAACATAAATTGATATGATATTTGTACTAAAACTTGATAATTACTTTATAAATTGAGACAGCATCGTCCATTTTTTCATTTTCAACTTAAATATCTAAAAAATTGATCATAATGAAACCCGAAATTTCAACAAAACTTTGCCATAATCATTTCTAATTTTCTCATAAATACAACGAAATTTTTGCATAAAAAAAACATAATAATAAAGTTAATATACTTGTAAATTAGAAATATAAAAAAAATATATAAGTTTCTAAGAAATAAATAAACACTAATAATAATTTAAAGTTGTATAAATTCCGTTGCGCCAAAAGTAAATTCTCAGTGGCGCGCTAGCGCTCGTCGAGGTAGGACCTATGCCATTTTTTACAACACCGCTAAGATAAGACATTCGTCAGTGAACATTAGTATAGAGCGACTAAACCATTTTGATAATTTAAGTAATATTTAATTAATTTTGCTAATATATACTTATTTCTACACATATATATATATAATAATAATATTTATTTTAGCATGCCAAGACAAAAGTACAGTTATGCTACAAATAAAACCTACCTATGCTGGACTATGAAAAGCACAAGAGCATGGTATTTCGTTAATGGCAATTAATTGTTAAAATTAAAAAAGAGAACATTTTAGTATTTTAAAAAATAACGCTTATCTGAGAGAAAAATGTAAGAAAATGTAAACCAATTTTACTCTATGTTTATTTTGTAGTTTTTTTCTAAATTAAAATAGGGTTATTGTTTATAAAAATATATTATTTTTACGTACATTTGTCTTGTGTTATATAGTGTATATCATCTAGTATGCAATGTGGATTGTAAATAAATTACCAAATTATATATAAATTATATTCCTTAATGTTTAGAGATATTTTATCCAATTTTATTTTATTTTACACAATACAGATATTTCTAAATTGTAGCTATTCTGTTATTATACTCGTTGGACTTTCATTACTGTACAGTTATGTCAAATAATTATGCGTGTTTGGGTGAAAAGTCAACAACATTATAAATGTTTTTATTTAGAGACTAGCTTTTAGCTCGCGGCTTCGCCCGCGTGAATATGGGATATATAGGTTATCGCGCGTTTAAAGATCCGTGTACAGTATTGGGACGTTATATATAAACCTTCCTCTTGAGTCTATCTATTCTGTCTATTAAATAACAACGAATCAAAATCTGCGTAGTTTTTTAAGATCAAAACATACATAGATCTATTACATGTGTAGATGATATTTTAACCGGAAATTGAAGCCGTTAAAATGGTATTGGCAGATCAGTTGGAATCATCGGTATTCTTGGTATATAAGCTTCAATTCTTTAGTAAGCAATATATCCAATGGGACGCCATTGCACATGTTCGGCGGGCTTAAATTTTATGACTGGATCATGCTTTTGAGAAATTCCTTCCTCAAGTTTGAGCATTTAGTGTGGGAAATCACTATCTGTGCTTCCATAAAAATGAGCTCTCAAATTTGTCAGTAGTTTTAAACTTTCAATTAAAGTCCATAAGGGAGACGATGTTAATGACACAGAGAGTCTTTCAGAAATCTCCAGCAAAAGTATAAAAGTAATCCCGCCAATGAGAGCAGAGGTGTTTCTAAGGTCTTTTAAGGTTCTGTCCAAAATCCCTATAGCTCATGGTGATTTCATTACATATAATCAATGAGGCGTCTTATAATAATTTATAAAAAGGTTTGACATTAACAATTAATTATTTATCAAGAATCAAGAATCGGCCAACCAAGAACGAGAAGCTGCAATATCAGCCAATATCATGCGGCGACGTCAATGATGCAGGAACAGCAATGACAGCAGTTGAAGCTTTTTTTTTACAACTTAGAAAGGAAAACAAGCTGACGGCTCTCCTGATGGAAAGAGGTAACCGTCGCCTATATACATGAGCAGTACCTGCCATGTTCATATCAGCACATTGTTTCCCTCATGCGTTACCATTCCTGAAAACTCGGGTGTTATTCCCCTGTATCTTGTAAATTCACTACCATATATATACACAGGTAGTCTATATAGATAGATATACATATACACAGATAGTATACCCTGAGAAAGGTCATAGACTACTTTATAGTGCGAAAAAAGTATTGTAAGGGATTAAAAGCGGAGATGAAAGGTTGTATAAAAGTATCGTCATTGTTTAATTGAAACAAAGAAACTTTTTTAGGTTATAATCTAAATATATTTCCTTTATTTGGTCAATTTCATTATACCACGCTGACGAAGTCGCGGACACACCTAATATACATATAAAGATGGGACCTTTAAATCAAAACAAAGCCTTGAAAACAGAACTATTATATATAAATAAAATAATTATATTGTATCTTATAATAAATTATATTGTATCTATTAATAAATAAACTGAATTAATATGTAAGAAGAATTAATTAGTAAATTTATGTTATAGTAATTTCATCTTCCTGTCCTTATCCCAATTATTTGTTACTCATATTACTTAAGGTTTTGGCTTTTAGTTGTACAATCGGCCAGCATCCTGACATCAACCCTCTAGGAATAATATAATAAAAAAATATGGTCATTATTAGCACTTTGATAATTAAGATAAATCACGTTATTTAAAAAAATCAATAAGTAGTCTCAGTTAAGTAGAAACATATCACATTATTAATTAAAATATTACAAGGATCAAAATGGTTCATACTAAATCCACACCGATTGAGCTACACGGTTATTTGCGTCTGTGTGCGTGTATTACTGTATGTGTGCGTAAATCCATGCGATTAAACCTAAAGTTGAGCGGCATCATTTTGTAATAGTCCTCTTAATACGTGAAGTAAAAACTTCGTACCTCTTTTTAGGAAAGTTACGCGGACGGAGGGATATGAAATTTCGCACACTTACATTTTATAAACAATACATAAAATCAATAAAAAACATTACACACACTACTGTACTGTATTTGTATGTACTATGTGTACTATGTATTTGACACACACACACAAAAATAAATACATATCCTAATTTTATCTTTTTGTAGTTTGTACGATTTGTAAGACGACTATAGATTTATATATAAAAATATAACTTTATGGTAAATATATATGCTCATATACAGAAAGAAATCATACTAAATTAGTAAATAGGTGCTAATTTTATCTAAACATGACTTTTTTTCAAAAGACATTAAATAATGAAGTATGCACTCAAGGTAAAAAGGTCTAAAACAAATGGGTTGGTACATATTTCGTCTCCCTTAATGATGAAGTAGGGTCTGATTCAATTATAGCAATACTTACTTGTAAACCTTTCCCAAACGGGTTGAATGTCTGGTAGGGTTAAATGGTCCCTACACTCTTCTACCATTGAGTAGGGCGAAATGGGTCGCCTTAACAAATGAGTACTCCATCTATAGGGCGCACCAACGCAGCCGGAGTCGATGTAGGCTACTAACGTTACACCATGACTCCGGCATTTTAGTCTCGTAGGTACAACATGTAGATTTTAGTGACGAAGATTCTCACACATTATCCCTCCGGTGGGAGACCGTCGTTGTGAAGTTTTGCCACATATTAAAAATAAGGTTCTATGAACTACAAGATTTGCTATACAATCATTTCAATCTATGATAGAACGGAGCCTGATATAACGGTACGCGGGAGACTAGATTCTCTAGATCTGGGTCTAGGATATTATTTAGACCTGATCCTCATTCCTAATATGTAATACAACCACATACTAATAACGTTAGTTGTGGTATTCAATATTTTGGATACACTACCCCTTGAATAAACTACGGTCTAAATTATTGATTTTAAATACGTTTAAATTACATAGAGTAAATTGTATTTTATCGATCATGGCCTGGTGATTTAAAAACATAAGTTTAAATCCGACACTAAAAGTTCTGTGTTTAAATTTACGAGTATATTTTTGAGTCACTCTTCAGTGATGGAAGGAACGATAAATAATTTAATTAATTTGGGAGACGGTGATAGTCTCGCCTCCCGCTATGTTGAAATATACGCAGCACATTATGAGAACTTGCATTATTTACAATGACAGTTGATAATGTATTTAACTATAACATCTAGGATAACAGTCTTGAGTATATATTAAATTTATACTTTTATATATAACTGAAATGGTAAATAAGCTGGCGGGCCACTTGATACATAAGTAGCGCTACGGACATCACGTTATCATATGAGATCTGTAAACGCGTTTTTATCTTCTAATTTTATACATTATCTTTAAATGGTATAAAATAAAGACGACGCCGCTGTCTGCTCGCATATATTTTAAATTATGCAATGGATTTGAATGCAGTTTTCAGCAATAGAGTGATTAAAGGTATAGAGGTTTCTATGTATAATACCTGCGTGTATATATAGGACGAGTTGAGGAGTTTAAAGATTTGTAACGAATTCATGCGAAGCCGGAATGGGTTGTTAGTACTCATATAAAACTCAAATCAATTAAATTTAATAATCACTAATAAAAGTCCCAAATATGCCTGCTTTATGTGACAGTTCACGGAAATGATACAACTTCTAATAAAATGTGAATTAATGTGCAAATATTGCGGCGAGGTGTTACACGGGGAGAAATTAAATTCCGGCAAAATGTTATACAAGTTTGAAGTGCCGGATGACAGGCATAAGTAAATTTATTGCTTGGAAATATCAGCAGCATTAGGTAATAACTCCACATCGTCAACAGACATTATTTTCAGAAATGCACCTTTACTAAATTTAATGAAATTTCGTTACGGTTTTACAACCATAATAGGAAATACTTTGATAAATTTATTATAGGAGTAGGGTATATAAAATAATAATGTGAAGAGGAAAGTTATTTGGTTTTTATTGTATATACATATATGTATATGTATTATATAGAAAACTGCATTAATTGCAAGTAAAATAGGCCGTATTTCATGTGAGAAGATCGCCCAAATTAAATAAACAATAACAAACCGTAGTTTATAATTGCATTCATTATTATAAATCTATAAAAAAATAAACCTCGTACAATAAATTTAATATACGGGTATATATAAAAAAATATAACAGTAACTAAATTTTGTTTCCTAAATGTTTTTGTTTACCTATATATATTGCTGAATTATAAATATCTACTATAGTCTGTTAGGTAAATATGAAAATGTATTTTGAAACGAAGCGTTTATTGATTTATAGAGATTTTAGCACTGTTATCATGAATACATCTGTACCGCATAATTCACAATACATTGTTATTAGTCTTCGTTATCTTGAAATTGGAGCCTAACTTCATATTGAGATCTATACCAGATCCACCAGCCCAGTGCGTGTCGTGTAGCCGCTGATACTATCCAACAATAATAGCACACCTGAAGGATTGCAAAATTCAACATTAGCAATTAAAGTTAAGGTTTAATTTGCAACAAATTTACATGGTTCATATGCTTTATTGGACTCTATTCAATTAATTTTAAAAACAAAAAAATCTAAGTACCTATATAATTGGACATTGATTCCTTAGCTGTTCACGTTAAGGTTCAAATTGCAATAATATTACGTATTTAAATAATAACGAAAAATGCAAAGATGGTAATTAGAGTGTACTTTGTGATTTATGTGAAATGGTTCTGATGCGAGTTCATACCTCCGTCCGCCAATCTATCATGAATAATCCTTTCCAGACAACTTAATCCTATCCAATGTATAAAAAAATGCTATCCTTATAAATATTATAGAAACTGTTGATAGGGTTGTTTGTTTTTTCTGCCATCCGTCGATTCTTTTTTTGTATGAAATTTGATAAACACATGTTGTAGTACTACTAAATCTATTTATTCCGGTCTATCGGACAAAATAATGGTCTGGAATTAATCAATGTAATTTTCAGATTTATAACTAGTATATTAAGGTTCTAAACATACTGGAAATTTTCCAATGATGATAAGATGATATAAATGGCAAGAACGCCTACGATAATAGTATAAAAAGGCTCGGCACTAGTGGAGGATAAAGCAAAGTAGATAGCTCAACAAGGAAAATTAACTATAATGGTTTTCAGGGTGAACCGCGATCAATGACATTTGTTATTTTACGCCTTTTTAAATCTGGAATTATACACTAGGAACATATTAATAACATATTTCGTTGTCAATGAAAGAACTAAATAACATTGTTATCGTCAAAAGCAGTTTAGTTGATATTACGTTTCAAAAGAACAATACACAAGTTGATTAGATTGAAATCGATATTGAGATTAGACTAGAAAGTACATCTACTGTTAGAGGAAATTGCTATAATGAAGAACATAATATTTTGCATTACCAATTACCCCTTATGATCAATTATTTAATTAGGGACACCTAAACCAATCTCTACTAATATTATAAAGTGGCAAAATTTGTGAATATGTATGTTCGCGGTAATCTGAGTATTACTGGTTCGATTTTGAATAATCTATTACTCTTAGACAGTACATTTATTGATGAAAGCTATAGGCTATGTAACATTTATACTTGGATATTTTTTTTCTACTTGGAGAAAATCCCTCATAGACATCCGTCCACCCAGGGGGAAGCAAAGGGCACTGTCAGACTCCTCACTAAAAATTCAAAGTTATCTCGACTAAGTGCCTATTGCCGGAGTCGCGGGGTCGAGTGTCAGTCCACCATAACTCTGGCGACATATAACATCATGCTACGACTCAGGAACTGAACGAAAAATGTTCCAAACATGAGGAAAATATAACAGACAAAGTTGCAGGTCAGCAAGTTCTGTTATATATAGATATTTTATTTAATTTCTCATTTGGGTACTATACCCGCGCGTAGTTTCGAAAGTTCTAACAACACCCGGTTTAGGAGATTCCTTAATTAAGTTACTTAGTGATGGAATCTCCTAGGAGCTCTTAAGTGTAAAATAGCATTTCATAGACGAACCATTAGTGATGTTCTATTAAGAGACGTTTGTAACAATAACCCATTAAGCCAGTTGCTTTGAATTTCAATAGACTATGTACTTACCAGAGTACAATGAAGTGGATTTGTTGAATTACTTATAAAAGGTGTTTATAGATATACTCGATTTTTGGCAATTACATTTTTTCTTTCTGACGGTCCACATGATTGTATGTGATAACCGTCGCGGCGTCGTCAATATATATCATAATAATTTATTATCAGCCTTACTTCCCCATTTGTTTAGTAGGATTATATGAAAGATGCCCAAGATACCTCATTTGTAATTCCAGAAGATTAAGATATCATGTATTTATTCTATCAATATATAATATTATCTCAAATGAAACACAGTTTACAAATAATACTGCTGCTGCTTCTAAAAGTACCACAGTCCTGTCTATTTAAGGCTCTACCTTAAAAGGCGAGTGGTATCTATGACGTGTCTTATTATTACTTAAATTGTTACAAAATAATTGTTTTAATCTTCATTATGTTTATCTATTAAAACATCAGCAAAGCGTATATTGTTGTCTTTTTCTACGTACACTTTTGTTTGTATATGTAATTCTTAGATCATAGATTTGATATCATACATAGTAGTTGTAAATAACGGTATTTCATAATACAGCCTACTTTTATTGATAACTTGATGATAGTCGTTTTATGAAATGCTAATGATATATTTTGCTGTCACGACATAGGTACATTTGTCATCATTATCTACTTCTTCCTTATCCCATTTATTTGGGGTCGGCGTAATGTTTTTCTCTTCCATTCATCCCTGTTCGCAGTCATCCCTTTATTGACTCCCTTTCTTACCATATCATCTTTCACACAATCCATCCATCTCTTTTTCGGCCTTCCTCTTCCCTTATACTATCCTCATTAATTTGTAACACCTTCCTTATAATATTATAAATTATATCGGTAATTTAAGTATTGTATTGTAATAATATAATATTATTTATTCAAGTACATAAAGCAAATAACTCTTCAATATGTAAGCACCTTAAGATTACGTCGAGTTACTTTGATTAATTTTGATTATTCCATCGAATTTGACTACAAAGGAAGATAAGACGGCCTGAGTCCAAATATTCAAACGTCAGTATGCCATTGTTATGGTTCAAATCTCGTGAAATGTGCAAGATAATGTATTTTCATTTCCTTGACTCTTCCCTTGCCAGCAGATATTATGATATACAATAGATGTATCGAAGTTGTACAATCCTACTATTTGTGTGTTTGTCTTTGTTACATAGAACAAAAAAATAATTGATTAATTTAAATTTGTACTGATATTTTATTGTTATTTATATATACACATTTGTTTTGAAAATATAACTAAGCCTTAAATAAGGCATATGCGAACAATGTAATTGAAAGGTTAGGATTATACAATTTTAATTCTTTTTTATCTATAACAAATTTCTCTTCTATTTTGGTAAATTCTATTTTAATTGTAAGCTCACATTTCAATAAGCAACGAACTAGAAAACAATTTGTATTAAGAAAATATTGAATTAGGAATGGTTATCCAAAAGAAAGAGAATTGTAAAAAATATAACTGTAACACAATTTAAAAATCTACTTTTTAATTTTCAAAGCCAGAGACTTTATTATATTTGTTTAATGTTCCATTACTGAATGAAGTCTACAAACTTGAAATTTTGCTGAGAAGTTTCTCAGTTTTGTACAGTTTTGCTTTCACGCTTATGCTGCATCAATTTAAGTTTTCTGGAATATCCTACGGAATGGGACATAACAGTTTTTAATTTTCGTAATTACACCTGAAAGTATACTTTGTTCGACAAAGCAATATGCAATCGAGAGAAGATTAGTGCTTAAAAAAAATATAGAGAAGTTTTCAAAGAGGATTATCAAAATCGATGAAAACATTTCTAAAAAACAAACAAATAAAATTGAAATACCAGTGTACTTTTTTTTAGTCAGGTATAATAATTGCTGGTTACTTTAATCTACTTATGTACTATTATTATTTTTCATATTGCCTTAGTCGTACCTTATTATACTGTTAAAAAAAAGTACGCAAGGATTCGCTGTGCGTGTAGCCTATTAATACGTTTTAATTCCTTATATTTCCATACATAACGTACTAATACAAAGACTGAATTATTTTTATTATTTTAAATGGTAAAAAAAATATATAAAATGTTAATAAAGTGCACTTACAAGGGTCATACAAGCCAATACGAAGGTAGAAGCGAGCGGCCACGGGGTGACGTGACTCTCCTGAGTCATGAGCCCTGCTAAAGTACGGCCTGAGAGCCAGGCCGCCAGCACTGCTAACGGAGACATGAGCATTATGCCAAGACTGTCCACCATCAACTGAAAAATAAGGTTGATGTTAGATTGTAAGTAAGAAGTTTTATTGAATTAAGTTGAATTTCTGATGGAACCACTAATTCTAACTGTTGGCATGCTGAATATTTTTTCAACTGTTTCGAACTTTGCACGATGTAAACATATATAGGCCTTGATGTGTTGTTTGTTTATTTATACTAATGATATCGATTTTAGTTATGGAATAGTATGTTATTGTTATAGCTAGTTAAATAATAATACAAAAAAATGTTTTATATTCTTTGCACGAGGGATTCAAAAATATTTAAAATTATAGATTATTTTAGAAACTTTATTATTTTATTTATTTCTGTCTACGTAGTTTTCAGTTATAAATAAATAAAAAAAATACAATTTCCCTAGTTATATCAGTATTTTCTGAAGCAAAAATCTGAAATTACAGTTGCCATATGCAAACATTACAACTTAGGTACTTGTAGGAGTATGTATTTTGTGAAGCCGCCTGTAGCGGCTTGACGGATTTTATGAGATATCATGCTATTACTCGTTTTATCGTGTGTATCTCAGCCTAAATGACGTCACGTAGATGTAAAATGGACGAACGTGAAATGACAAAAACAACGAAAAATTCAGAAATAGAAATCTGTACGGCGTAATACTGAAGAGTTTAAAATGTAGATTACTTAACAAATTATGGAACAAATTACAGCGAAAATAATTATATTTTTGATTTCAGAATAGACAAGTTTTATATCTATTATTAATATTTTTTTAGCTGGACTATCGAGGACGTTAGATATAACACATGATTCTTTAAGAATAACAGCATAACAGTATCTACCATCTTTGTAGTTACCATATAGGCAGTTGATTTGTCTGAATGAAGACACACCAATAAATATGGTTTTTTGTTTCATCATTCATCATCAGAGGAAGGTTTATATATAGATATACCTAATACATGTACACCCGGGCGAGGCCTGGGCGAGTAGCTAGTACCACAGATAATATAATTATATAAAATATATTTTTATAACATACTATAGTTAAGCCGCTTAACTTCGTCTACATTACTTTTTTTCTGTTTTTGTAATAATTTTCATTACAGCTCTCCTCCCATTAGTTGTAGCGTGATGTGAAATACACTGTAGCCTTGTTTGATAAATGTGATTAGTAAAAATCGGATTAATAATACGTTCAGGCATATGCGAATCTAGATTAGAAATTGACTATTAAATATATTTCCGTTCCTCAAAATGAATGCTAATTAACCGGAAAAATGTTCGGCGAAAATTCTATTCTATTACGTGGCAAATAAAAAGGAAATTTGCCCAATTACGATCTTGGTAATGTAAAAATTTCTCGCAGACAATTTGAGAGAAATAAACGGGTCCAAATATACGACAATAATTATCAACCTGCCATCATTATTTTTATTATTAAGGTGTCTTCCATAAAATAATTAATGGGTAACAATTTATTTATAATAATAATAACCCAGGACAATTTACACAGCGCCGCAAGTCTGAAGCAGAGCTTGTGTTATGGGTTCTATACAATTGATCTATGTAAATACATGAAAACACTTTTTGTACATACATACAGAAACACCCAAACCAATACAAACAATCATAAATATTTGTATGTGTGAGGAATCGAACCCATGACCATCGGACGTAAGACGATGTGCGAAACAGCTAGACCATCGAAGTGGTCATTATGACAAATGTATCAATTAAAATTTTACTATAAAAATGTATTCTACGACACAATTGTCGAATCGAATATCGATAATTAAAAAAGTAGTAAAAATTTTTAGAGTAAAATTCTGTGACCGATTTAACGATAGAGAATATGCTAGAAAATCGTAGATATTTTTTAACAAATAAAATGGAGTAACTGGTAACTATTGCTGAATTATACGTATAGAAATTATAGAGGAGACATTAGCTATAAGAGTGCTAGTAGTACAGCCGCAATTCACTTAATCACCGTTTTTAAAATTGGAGAAAATTTTCATTTTATCTTGGGGAAAATTCAGGAGACTTGCCGCCCCGGGGGAGGTAGACGGGTACTGTCAGACTCTTACCGGTTGTTCCTTCTCTTAACCTTTTGTCAGAGTTACGGGAATGCGCGAGCAATCTTCCCTAACCCTTTGGCACTTCGCAGTCACCAAACAATGTATTTAGAAACCGCAATACTTTATACTAAAAAAATTGTTATATGTTTACAAGAAAGGTACATTATCAAAACATGTAACAAACGGTGTTGTAAATGTTTCATTGAGAAATATTGTTTTGCTAGTTATTTCAATTAATAAGTTATCTATATGTAGTAGTATTAACATGTAATAACATGTAAAGTTAGAATAGTCAACAAATAAATAATTCAAGAAATGTATGCATGCGCAGAGCCAAGGAATAACTTTTCATCTTTTACTCGCACACGGCGCATAATGCATTATGCATTTTCTCTAGTACGTAACTATAAAAATACCTCAATACTGACAATGGTAATCTGCTTTCTAAAGTAAAATATAGTCTTCAATTAACTATTTTTCTACGTAGACTAAAGCAAAGTTTAAGAAATTCAGTGAAATGCTGCTAACTTTAATACTAGCCACATATTTAAAAATATTTACTACTTTTCTTGTTTTGCGGAAAATATTACATATATATATATATATATAATGAATAATATTTATTAAGCAAACCCTATTACTTACTAAACGATTACTTAAATGACAAACCTGCATGTCAACAGTTGTTCATGAATTGTTTCTTTTTCATTGAATATATGTAAAAAATATAATCAAATGTCTATTAAAAAAAAATTGTGTTAAGTTACTTCTCAATTGATATGTACTGAATAGGACTTGCCATTCATAAGCGCCCATAATGTTCTACATAAATGATTTTTTACTTTTACTACAAAATGTTTTCGAATACCAGTAACTCTAGGAAATACAGATAGCTCAAATATTTCTTTATGTAACTGGAATGGCATACAAATTGAGGCTCCATCTGGTGATTTCAACCATCGCCGCGTCACCTATATAGATGAACAGCCCCAAGAATATCGTAATGAGGTACCCTTAGTAATCCCCATGTTTTGCCATTTTTAACGATTAACATGTTATTCCTCTACACACTGTAATTTCGCTGCTATATCTTAACCAAAACCAACCTCAAAAAGTAAGCTGATGGGTTACAAAAATAGATATGATAAAAGTACCCACTCTGATGTCTTCGTACATTGCCTATCTCGGTAATACATACATAGTTATAACAATATACTCGGGGTGCCTTTGAACGATGTTCAGATATTTTAAACAGAATATTTCTTATAAGATATTCTCTAACAAAATAATTCTATACGTGGCCGGCTCTAAAGCTTGTGTAAAACGTCTTTTATGAAACACAATGAAAGTATACACCATTATGCTTTATTAAAATGTCGATATTTTCCTTCTGTATCCTCTTAAAAGGCTTTTTTATATGTTCGTACTCCTATGTTGTTTAAACGATGCATTTTATTGTCAATTTAGACGACTTTATTTTCGTGTTGTATAAATTAACATTAATTTTTAATATTCTCGATTCTATGATGCGACAGTCGACTCTATGAGTACGGTGATGAAATATATCCTTAACTTTAAGTACTAAGCTATATTAATTAATTTCGTTTCATATTCAGTTATATAAATATATGACCTGGGATCATCCACTACTGCCACTGGGATATCCACTAACTGCACAAATAAGTAAGAATTAATATTCGGGTTCATTCTAGCAGAAATTTATAACCTTTTATTAGTCGATTACGTTTCTCTAAACAGAAGTTTAAAAATGTATGATTTGGCTATAATGTATGATATGGTTTGCTATATCTGTATTAGATTTTGGATTTGTATGATTTGGCTACATTAGGTGGATTTATATATATGTTAATTTTTAAGTAAATATATTTCGTTACATTTAATTAATAGAAATTGATACTGAATATCACATTTATGACATATGTACCTGTTTAGCATTTTGGCTCAATATCCACATGAATAAAGCTCTGGGCACTCCGTATTTGTGGACGCGTCTTGTAGCATATCTAGTTCCACAAAGTTCACATCTAGATTTTCCTGATTCCGTCAGCCATCTCTCCAAACATTTCACATGTACTCTTCCCACAGTTCCTCGACATGAACAGGCCGATATTAAGGCTCCTAATTCAAGTGATAATGTACCTCCACCGTGACATATTCGACACATGTCATCTAGAGATTGCTCGCTTAGTCTAGGCTCTTCAGATGTTTCTGTATCAATAACTATATGTTCAACTAATGTAACTCCTACTTCTTGATTCCAATCAATAGCTGTTGTACCAACTGATCGTCTATTATTATCATTAGTTTTACAATGATCTGGTATACTCATACGTCTCCTTGGACTTCTTACTTTGATTCGATGCTGCCGTGGATGTTTATCTACACGTCTTGGTGTAATGTCTCTGGAACGTAGACCTTCATCTCTTCTCTTTGATTCATTTGAATTTATTATTTCCTTTGATTGTTCATTAGCAGTTTTATCATCTGTATCAGTATGTTGAATAAAGACATCTATGTTATTAGAATTAGCAATAATATCACTGTCTATGGTGATTGTGGACTGTTTTCTTACTGATAGTGATATGTCACTGTCTCGTTCTGCCACTATTTCTAGAGTATTAATATTTTTGGAACTATTAGGAAATGATTTATTTTTGGACTTTGATATCTTCAAGTTACTCATATTATGGTTTGCTATATCTGTATTAGAGCCTAGGTGCCTAAAAATCAATGTTAAATTTATATTTCTTTGCTAATTGTATAGTATTAATAATATTGGACAAGTAATTTTGATTGAGACTTTCGATTTTTATTGGGCCATCATTAGTATTCGAATATATAAAAAAGTAATGTCCTCTGAATCCAGCATCTGAAAGCCACTAGTTTAATGCTACCAGAACTAATATGTTTTAAAATAGCTATATGGATTACAGGTATCCTGAAAAGCAATTAGATCGCTGATTGTATCGTAACGTATGGCCCTTATTTTTATACAAATATAATATTGTGGATAACAGATAATACATAATAAATCAGCATTGAACGAGAAATAAATCGAAAATGGTATATCCAATATTGCTTCTAAATTCCAGTTTTATTACGTTTCCGAACTGTGGAAAATTTGTTCAGGTATTCATGATTTGCTGTTGAACCCAACAATTTATATTCAACGCACAGCACACGATATAGAGGCTGTTGTGTTATTCAATTATCTTTACTATTTACCTGTTTGACGAAGCGTTTTGCATTTTAGATGGATCTCTTGTCGCGATGTCATTTTGTACAGAAAATCTTCGACGCCTTGTGTTTGGCATTTTACTGGAATTTATATGCTTTTGCCGTTTTCTATTTTTTTCTGTAATACTAATAAAAATATTGACGTTTAAAAGAACATTTTTGATATAATAATATGTACTTTGAGTGATGTTTCGTTTTGTTATTAGTGAATTTAGAAATAAGGTTTCATGTAATTTCTTAATTAGAAAATATTATATATAGTTTTAATGATTTCTGTGTAAGGGTTGATGTCCAAAAATTTCTGAATATAAGTTACAAAAGTGTTTGAATAAATAATGCAAACCAGTTTTTTACAGGAACATTAAAATTCTTCCAGTAACTTGATTATATACAAGTTATTAAGTTAAGATAAATAAGAAGATGTTAGAAATTAATGTAAATAGAATTTCCTTACTTCAGAAAATCGAACTGTTTACTCAAGCTTGTTTGTGAAACCTTTTTAGTTATATTTGAATAATTGTGCTAGTTAGGAGGATTATTATATTTTTTCTATAATACCTTCATAAACCGTGCCTTATAAAGATTTTTAGATTTTTTTGCTTTAGAAACTTCGGAGACGGAATGGTATTAATTTTCTGTTTTCCGTCGTAATTCGAAACTTAAACGCTACAAAAATATTTATGAGTTTTTTTTTTACAAGTATATCTATGCATAGAAGACACATGGTTTTTATAGGTCTGAAAGTATGAGTAAGTCCAAATAAAGAGGTTAAAAAGGACAGTTATGAACTTTTGTACATTCTTCCGTCTACTTAGCTGCAGATACTATATATACGACTAATGCCATCGATTTGAAATATGGAGCAGGTTCAGTCGGAACTGTAATAATTTTCTTTATTTATGATGATTTTATAATAACAAAAATAGGGATTCAAAATTTTAAGTTTTTATAAATATGGACCCTTTTTGTACATTTAAAAGTAAGTTGTATTATTTTTCATACTGCGTAAATTTTTGTTGAAATTTTGTGTTTAGAGAATGACTTTAGTTTTTAAAAATGGAAAAAGTTCTTTTTCCACTCAAAGACATTAAAGTGATAGATCTCCAATATCGTGAAACTTATACGTTTGGGAAATTTAATTTATCGAGAATACAAACTGATTGTATTCAAGTTTTTACATCAATTTCGTTGAGGTATTTATTTTTGAGGCATATGTTTCATAAGTGTCCAGTTTTTGTGATAGATACAGATAACAATACTATATATTATATTATTAGCAGAATTAAGTACCTAGTAGATAAGAAATATAGGACTAGTAAATATGATTTTTTATTATTATTATAATAATAATAATAAAAATCCATATAACACTTTATTGCACCAACATATAAAGAACAATTAAAGACATAAAAAAAAAATTAGGGGTACATGATGAAGTAATAACACTAGTTATTTATAATTATTTATTTTTAGACATTAAATATAATTAAACACATTTCTATCGCGTCTGTTTATATTTGTTTTAATTTAAAAATAAAATTTTATATTAATATTAAGTGAGTAGACCACTAATATATTAATTTATCTTCCACAACCTTGGATTACATGATTGATAGGCATATCTGATACTTACCTATAATCTATTGGTCAAGTTAATTAAAAACAAGAATCCATACCTGCCGTCTTTTGTCATTTGTTTATTTTTGTTGTATATTTCTAATAATAATATACTTTTTTTTTAAATAATAATTTCACGACTGTTATCTTAGATTGGTTTGAGGCATTATCAACTACCGTCGATATGGTGAAAGTAAGCATGGCTTGCTTATTGCCGAAAGTCGAATTGAAAATTGGTCAGATATATAAATTAACATACAAAGTTTCAAAGTATCTTTGACATTTGTCATTGCGATATTTTGAGGTTTAAATGAGACCTGTAACTATGACGCACATATATTTATTCTTCCTAAAGGGTCAGAACTAACTGTCTCCTTGTGCTCGAAAACAGCTTCCAACTATGAAGGAATTATAAAAAAGTTTGATATACGAGCGTGAACCAGACAGTAGTTACCTAGTATTAATGCTTGAATTAGAGTATTTGAGAAGGGCGAGATACTGAAATTAAACTTTGAAATTACGTTTTATTGTAGAGGCATAACGCCTTAGTCCTAGGGGGTTTGGTATGAAACGTAATTCCAAAGTTTCGAACTCAAATTTTAGGCGAAACATGTTCATGTCTAATTCTAAACCGGCCGCGTGGACACAAAGTGACATTTCGTTCGTCATAAACTGATTACGGCTGGAACCATACTAATTACCTTATTTTAGTTAGTTTATATTTGTCTGTAATATATGTATTATACGTGAAACTAGAACATTTACATCCATACACTTTCATAAGTTTATTATGAAAATGAGAGGATAAACAAAAACTACCGATGGATGAACTATATGAAAGATGATATAAAAAAAGACAGTTGATATAGGAACTGGTGTAAGAGGATAACATATTATGCAGAACCCAGAATAAGGCAATAAAGAAAAGACAGTGATAATACCTCTATGAGAATTTTGTGGTAAAAATTACCATGCTGTGAAACGTTCCATGGTGTTGATATATAACACATCAAGAAAATTAAAGAAGATGAAAGAAATTTCGGAACGGATCTTAGTATTTTAAATATGAGAATCGTAAGTTTTCCTGTTATTAGTACAGATAAGGGAATTTCAGTTCAAGATCTGTTCAGTTGTTTAGCCGTGAAAACAAAGATAGATGTGCATACGAATTTATAATATTTTTATGGATTTTAGATTATGTTTTTATCATCTCAATAAATGTTAAAATATAGAGGATTACATCTTAAACTTGGCTATTGTTTAAGTAATATGGCGGTTTATCTTCATACAACTTTAGATATAAATTAATGTGACTTTTTATGATATATAAAGACATTAAAAGCGATTTAAGTAATGTCAACACAACTTTATCCTCCACTTTGTTCCATAATCGACTAAGTTTATGAAAAATTATTCGTTCTTTAACTTCCAACGATCGTATAAAATAAGATCGCATATTACATTGAAATATACCTGTTAATAACAATAAATTCATACATGCACTATGAGTTATTGGATATTTGTTGTTTTATATTAAATAAAATAAACTGCATGAAACCTACCCTACCCTTTGTCTATTCATCTAAAGATAGTCTAAAATAGATTTCTTAGCGATTAAAACGCCTTTTGTATCAATTAATGTATATTTATTATATTAACGTTTTTTTCTATAACTGGTGCAATAAATAGTACGGATAAAAGTATAATTTGCCTGATAAATGATATATTATATCATCATCGTATTAAAATGTTTTACATAAAGAATCAAATTCAATGAAAATTTAATATTCATACAATTCGATCTGACAGAATTTGAACTGGAATATATCAGGCAGACTTGTTTTACCTAGTGAAATATGAAGTCTGTCATAGCTATCCGATCATATAGTTCTCGACCCGGTTAGCTGAAAGACGTAGTTCTGGATTTATTCAGATCAAGCTGTAGAATGAAAGTTTAACGTACTGATTTAACTTGATATGTTATAAGTTCAGGTCCTAGAAACCTAATAAATTATTTTATTTAATTAGGAAATTATATATATATATATACATATACCTATATATCTAATAATGACTATAATAAATAAGCGCCAACTATTTCCAAGCAAAGCAGACCTTATGTTATAGGTACTGACATAAATACTTTTTTTCTAAATACATACATTTTACATAGAAATCGGTTTGGATGTAGACCGATATAAACAATTATACTCACGAATACAAATCTTTGTACCTTCGAGGAATCGAAAGTAAAACGGTCTGCTAATCCACTAGATCACCTAAGCCGTCAAACTTATTATTTATACATAGATGCAAATTAACAATATTTAAAATGGTAATTTTAAAGAACAAAAGTAAAACATTGAGTAGATAGTCTCTTATTTGTAACTTAAAAATATCAATGGACATTGCATTTCTGATAGTCACCTTCACGAATTCTATAAGGTGTTACTATGTAGTTTAAGTAAAGGAATTGTGGTAAAATTTAGCGTAATGGTAATGAGCAATATCATATAATATTAATAACTTTCTTAACTCATTATCTTATTCTCAAATGTATGATGTATGTTAATAATTAATAAAGGATTATTCAAATTTTGTACAAAGCAATATCCCATTTTTAGGTATTCCTTTATCATAATACTAAAAGTAATTAACATTCCTGCGACCCCAGAATGCGTAATATTATCTGTATTTTGCCTCTTTGCAGAAAAGGAGTTAGTCTTTATTAATATGGAAAAAGCACAAGGTTTTATTTCAAGTGCTGTCGCTCTTATATTATTGCGCTTTGTTCCACTGGTTCTCTGCCATGCCTTTGATGTACTCGTTTTAATAAACGCTTCTATATTATAGTATGAAAACAGTATAAAAATACATACGTACTGCTAAAATAATATTTAATATACTGGGAAAATACTGCACACTGAAAAGCAAACATATGTGATATGAGGTGGAATCAAAAAACTTAAATAAACATACTATATACTAAAATTTAGTTCAATACATTTGGTACAAATAGTAATAAAGTACGTATATCTCCAGTTATGACCTCGCGTGTTACTCGGTGCATTCCACAATTTCGACGATTCTTTTTAATCTAGAGTATTATATCCATTTTGATATCGTTTCATTAAGATATCTTAAGACAGGTTTTTGGTAATATCCAGATTTGAACTTATAACTTTCTATTCGAAATCCAGAACTAAACCACTATGATAGGTCACAACGCTCTCAGATGTTTTTGTGGAAGTAAATATACAATTATTAGACACCTATTAGCTAGAAAAAGTTTACAGACAGATGTAATGTTTTGAAAGTCTGAAGTCATTAGACCGACGTCGCGACGGCTAGACTTCTTCCTATTTGCTACTTCAAACAGCACTTGTAGCTTAATATAGTTCTTTAATATAGTGGCTAGACATTCAGTTGGGGTTGTTTATTATTATTGTTTCGTAGCTACTTAAATTGTAAATATGGAACACTTA